TATCCAGCATCACCTGTTTATTCCTGAGGGTCAATATGCATAAACTCCTCGAAGGAGACAAATAGCTATTTTTTTACTCTTGCTAACCAGAAATTTCTCACCTAGTAGTCTTCTATTATTTGATTATATACCTGTTTAACATAAACACTGTAAATTCATAGATTATTCATAAAATTATTGAGCTATATACTTATATATAGATCTATAATTGTTTTTCTCAGTTATGTAAACATATAAGTATACACATATATTGACATGTCAGATAGCCACACATATATACTGATGGCAGTAGAAAATTTGTAAACCTTCATTTTTCTTTATTCTAAATCCATCATTTTCCTTCTGCTCCCTAATGGGTTTTCTTGTGCATTTCCTAGGGTGACTGCATCCCATGTTGGAAGCCACTGCTCTAATCCATGGTGGTAATCAGAAAATTCTTTTTAAGCTGCTGCTTCTCAAGAATATTTTTTTTACTTCTGAGATAAGTGATAAATGAGTTAAAGGAGTTATAATTGGTGTTATAGCATATATTTGTTTTTTATTTTCCATTTTCTCCACCAAAAGTAAGTTCTATGTTTGAACTTTGTTCTTCTTATTCTCCAGTGGTACTCCCAGCACCTGGAACATATTTTCTATGCTACTGTTTTTTAATAGGCATGTGTCTTCTAATGATAGGCATCAGCACAGGTAGGATGAATAAGAAGTGTAAAACAATATTTGTGAGGTTGACAGTATTTCTAACATGTCCATACCACACTTGAAAGTATAGGTGGCCATCTATTTTGCCTCGTAGAGAGGTGACCCTTGTTAAGGATTGAATATAGGGTAGATCCTAGAAACAAAACTCTCTGATGGCTGTTGATATTTGGCTTCTTAATTTAAAAAGTTTACTATTGAGTTCTTAAAGGAAGATCCTAGATTTTATCACTCTATCCTATTACAGTGAACAAAATGGCTTCCTTTTTCAAAGGACAACAAAAGTAGAAACCTAAAGTGTGTAGATCACAAATAAAATCCTACAATCCTAAGAACATTGAAGTGTATGATGACAACATTGTGTTTAGAAACCACAAAGTGATTAAATATCACACAGCATTGTCCATTGATGCTTCCATTATGTAGCCTTCTAATATGCAGGACCTGAGAAGCCTGGCTTACAAGAATACTTTCTTTTCTGTAGCATACAGTGACATAAGGACCTTTGTGCTTTTCACTGGAAAGCTTATAAAAATTCTCAGAAAATGATACCATTGCATATTTTACTGACATTAAGAAAAGCACCAGATTGTTAAAAGTTATAATTCAAATTATTACAATTTTAAGATTAATTCATACAAAAATAATTTAAGAACTGAAGGCTTTTTTTCCCTACCTTTAACCATTCTTGTTGGAGTTTATCCCATTCAGAGAAAGAATCCCAGAGCAGTTGTTTGAGCTTCAGTTCAGCACTGACTTCTTCCAAAGCTTCAAACTTGGACACTTCTACCTTTAAAAATGTAGTACACAAAATGCGCAATTTAGTTTTCAGATATAATGAGCATATGCTATTCTCCTATTAGTAATTTTTGGTACAGTGATTGCTTGGCAGAATGTGCATCCTAAATGGATTAAGAAAAGGAGCACTAGAAACAAATGAAGAAAAAAAGAAAACTCCATAAAACCCCACATATATTAGAATTTCCATTACAGTAACAAAATATAACTCCTGGTATTTCCTTAGAACTTAAATATTCTCCAAAGACATAAATATTATAAGAGTAACACAGGCATTCTTCTTTGAGTTGGATTATATATGCACATATATGTTAGGGCTTCTAGGGAAAGCCGATGAGTCTTTAGAGGCACTGATTTCTATTGGGCTTCTGTACTTAAATGGCAGAAGATGATGATGACTGTGCGGTAGCTGGTGGGGAAGATGGTGAAGTTTAAGATGGAGAGGACAGCATGGTTTCTGATTCTTTTCTAAACACGGACTTTATATGAACCCCATGGAGAGTAAGGGTGTAAGAAAATCTGAAGAATGTGTTTTCATGAGAAGTGTTTTAAGATTGCCTTGGCTCAAACTGGGGAAACTTTCAGGGAGTTGGTTACACAGAAATTCTTGGACTTTGACATTAGGAATTTAGTCTTGTCTTCCATTAAGAGTCGCAAATGATTTCCTGCAACCTAGATTAGTTAGGCTTTCACGCCTATTCTCCAAATAATTGAGAGCCACAGAAGGAAGGCTAGATCAGAGGCAATCAGGAAGGAATCAGTCATGAAGTCATAGACAGGGAAGATGGAAGGAGGAAGATACACTTTCATTTCAGGTTCTGTGTTTTTTAAAAATTAATTTTTTAACTTTTCTTTTTATTGTGGTAAAAACCACATTAATAAGATCTATTCTTTTAATAAATTTTTAAGTGTAAAGTACAGTAATGCTAATATAATAATGTTAACAATGTTATTTAATGTACTTTTTCTAATACTTTTTCACGTTGCACAACTGAAACTTTATACACCTAGAACAACTCCTCATTTCCTCCTCATCCTAGCCTCTGGAAACCACCGTTCCACTTTCTGCATATATGAGTTTGACTACTTTAGATATCTCATATAAATGAGATCATGCAGTATTTGTCCTTTTGTAGCTGGCTTATTTCACTAAGAATAATGTCCTCCAGGTTCATCCATGCTGTGGCATAGCAGGGTTTTCTTCTTTTGTGAGGCTGAGTAAAATTCTATGTTATGTAGATACCACATTTTCTTTATCCATTCATCTGCTGATGGACATTTTAAGTTGTTTCCTTATCTTGGCTATTGAGAATAATGCTGCAATGAACATGGGAGTACAAATATATCTTTAAGAGCCTGATTAAATTATTTGGGATATATGCTCATAAATGGGATCATTGGGTCATTTTTAATTTTTTTAATTTTTGAGGAGCCACCGTGCTGTTTTCCATAGTGTTCGCACCATTCTACATTCTCATCTACAGTGTAAAGGATTCCAATTTCCACACATCCTTGCCAATATTTATCATTCATTTTATTTTTGTAATGGCCATTCTAACAGATGTGAGGTGATACCTTCTTGTAGTTTGATTTTAATTTCCCTGATGATTACTGATGTTGGGTGTCTTTTCACATGCCTATTGACCATTTGTATGTCTTCTTTAGAGAAATGTTCATTCAAGTCCTTTGTCCATTTTAAAAACGGTTTTTTTTTTTTTTTTGGCTATTGTGTTGTAGGAGTTCCTTATATATAAGGAGTTTAGATAATAACCTCTTATCAAGTATATAATTTGCAAATTTTTTCCCTCATTCTGTATGTTGCCTTTTTACTCTGTTGATTGTTCCCTTTGCTTTGCAGAAGCTGTTTAGTTTGATGTAGTTCCACTTGTCTATTTCTGTTTTTGTTGCATTGGTTTTTGGTGTCACATCCAAGAAATCATAGCCAAGGCCAATGTCATGAAGATTTCTCCTACATTTTCCTCTAGGAATTTTATAGTTTTAGGTCTTTTAAGTCTTTAACCCATTTGTTTTGAACTGATTTTTGTGTAAGGGTTCAGCTTCATTCTTTTGCATGTGAATATCCAGTTCCTTAACACCATTTGTTGAAGAGACTATCCTTTCCCTGTTGTGAATTTTTGGCACCTTTGCCAAAGATGAGTTGACCATATTTGTTGATTTATTTTGGGGCTTTCCATTCTGTTTCATTGGTCTATATGTCTGAATGTATGCTAGTACCACACTATTTTAATTACTATAGCTTTGTAATATGTTTTTAGATTAGGAAGTGTGAGGCCTCTAGCTTTTTTCTTGTTTCTCAAAATTGCATTGGGTACTCGAGGTCCTCTGTGGTTCCCTAAAAATTTTAGAATTTGTTTTCAATATTTCTTTAAAAATGTCATTGGGAATTTGATAAAGATTGCATTGAATGTATAGGTCACTTTGGGTAGTACAGGTATTTTGACAATATTAAGTGGTCTAATCAATGAACATGGGATATCTTTCGATTTATTTGTGTATTATTTCATTTCTTTCATCACAGTTTTTTAGTTTTCAGTGTGTGAGTCTTTCACCTCCTAGGTTAAGTTTGTTTCTACTTTATTATTATTATTTTTGATTCTGTTGTAAATGGCATGCTATTTTTTATGCTATTTGGATTGTTATTTATGCTATTTCTTTATTTTTATGCTATTTCTTTATCTTTTGGATTGTTTGTTGTTAGTATATAGAAATGCAACTAATTCATGTAAGTTGATTTTGTATTCTGCAACTTTACTGAGTTTATTTATTAGTTTTAATTTTTTCCCCAGGGAGTTTTAGAGTTTTCTACACATAAGATACCTAGAATATTCTGGATCCTGTCACTACTCCAAGACAGGTGATATAGAAGTTTGTCCCTTGAGCAGTCCCCTGATAATGTATCACATTGGGCAGCCACTTCAAATCTTTCCCTGTCCAGGTAGAAGCTGAGATTTGGGAATTCTTGCTTGCTTACTCTGCACTGAGTCAGGGGTGGTGGGAGGGGTGTTAATGGCTAGTGAGTGTAAACTGGTAGAAACTGTTGCTTTTGTTCTCAGTGGTTCCAACCTGGGGCCTTTCCTGTCCATAATCAAATTCAGGCAAGAGAGAAACCAGTCTCTCAGGCAGACCCCTAAAGTGTCAGAATGCCGTATATTCCATCCAGTCTGTCTTTCCCTCCCTCACCAGGGAGAAGCTGAGAACTTCCTCCTAACTCTGTAGCACTGTGCTGGGGGCAGGAATCACAGTGAAAGGGTGTTAGAAATTATTCTACTGGCTTCAATCAGCTGATTTTATACTTGCCCAGGATGCAAGAGACTCTCAACTTGCCTTTGTATTTCTGACAAAATAAGTTGGTTCAGGGGTTGTTGAGTCAGTGTGTCCAAGGGAAAAAGGAGGGGCTGGGGCTTCATACTCTGCTGTCTTGCTGACAGGACCAATGATATTCTTTCTTACTCAAGGAGTGCTCACATGTGAGTTGTAGCTTTTTTTTTTTTGAAATGGAGCCTTGCTCACACTGTCACCCAGGTTGGAGTGCAGTGGTACGATCTCGGCTCACTGCAACCTCCGCCTCCTGGGTTCAAGTGATTCTCCTGCCTCAGCCTCCCAAGTAGCTGGGATTACAGGCACCTGCCACCATGCCTAGCTAATTTTTCTTATTTTTAGTAGAGATGGGGTTTCATCATGTTGGCCAGGCTGGTCTCGAACTCCTGACCTCGTGATTTGCCAGGCTTGGCCTCCCAAAGTGCTGGGATTACAGGTGTGAGCCACCGTGCCCGGCCAAGTTGTAGCTTTTTATCAAGTAGTATTTCCTCCATACCTTGCTCCTTACTACATACCTTCCTGTCTTGTAGGTCAGTTAACTCAACCTGGGAACAACTTTGAACTCTAGTTCCTACACACAAATCTGCCTCAAGTATCACCAGCCTTATTGGCTGGTATCAAGTTCATAATTTTCAGATTTCTCTACCAATCCCTGGACCCTGGAGTAGACAGCATGTCAGATCACTTTCTGATCATCCATCTGGGGCTCTGAAAAGACAGGTGCATTCCCCTGTGAGGTTCAAGTATGTTCCTCCAATATATTTGGGGAGACCAGCGGCATCTTCCTTATTGCTAGGGGCTCCCTGGTTTTGTCCATAGGAATATTTTCTTTTCTATTCTCTTTTCTTGTTGTTGGTCTCTCTAAAAGCTATTGAAAGCATCTGCATCTCTTGACCTTTTCTCTTCATGTTTTTTGAGAGACTTCTTTTAGTCTTTCAAATATACCCTTCTTTATTTCTATTTTTTTATTTTTTAAGACAGGGTCTCTGTCACCCAGGCTGGAGTGCAGTGTCACGATCTTGACTCACTGCAACCTCCGCCTCCTGGGCTCAAGTGATCCCCCCCGTTTAGCCTCCCAAGTACCTGGGACTACAGGTGTGTGACACCATGCCTGGGTAATTTTTGTATTTTTAGTAGTGATGTGGTTTCACTATGTTAGTCAGGCTGGTCTCAAACTCAAGAGCTTAAGTGATCCAACCACCTCGGCCTCCCAAAGTGCTGGGATTACAGGCATAAGCCACTGCTCCTGGTCCTCAAATCCACCCTTTTACAACCATTTGTCCCTGGCTTAGCTGGGGATGTCATTTTTATCAAATTGGCACATAAAACCAGTGTAAATCAGGTAATATTAATGGAATCATAACATACATATGAATGTAAAGGAAACCTGAATATTATTTAAGAAAGGATAGTGTGGTTTTAATTGACCACATTTAAAAATCCACTTATATTTTAACATAGAAAGTACAGTTCCTTGTCTGAAAGTTTTGCATAATTCACAATTATTTTAATAAGAAAGATATTTGGTATCTCATGTGTATTAGTCTTTAAACACTTCAAAGGCAGGGAACATATCATATTTTGTATTTGAGACTATTTGTAGCATGCTGACTAGCACATAGTTGTCCAAATATTGAATGTTTACAGTTACATTATTGAAGTCCTTGTGCATATATGCCATTTCTATACACACATTTCTAAGACAGATGGTGTAAAACTGTCATTACCTTAAAATTCTTCTGATAGGACTTATACCGAAATGCACGTTTCTGAAGATCAGCCAGAACAGATTGCAGATTATTCAATATGAGCCTTATTTTGTCTTGGTCAGCAGAGATATCTAAAATCTGTGGATCCTGTAAATTTAAGACAGTTTTTGGTTAGCCATTCCTGCTTTTTGATAAAGATCAATTAAATTAAATGAATTAATAAACATTTTTAAAAAGATTCCTTTAATTCTCTTTTCTTTTTGATTTTTAGAAATGATGTTTAAAACTGTTGCTTTCCTGAATTTTAAACCAATGCATAGACATTATAAAAAGTACGCATTTGTATAAAGTGCCATGGAGATAAAATTGTTTTAAAACATTACCTAATATATTCTTCCTCATCTGCTTTCATTTCCTACACTTCTTCAACCAACGTGACCTCAGATAAGCAGAGGTGAATGCAACAGGGAAGAGAAGGAAGGGGATATGATATAAGGTAAATTTCCACTATACAATAAAGGAATGGAAAGGCCTTTGTATTCTAATATGATAGAAGAGAGAAAATGAAAAACATAAATGGCAAGACATACGTTTTATGGCTGACCTGTTAGGATTGAAACCCCAGTGAATGGGAATGGAATAGTTCAGGAGCAAAGCAAAAGCACGTAACTAGGTTTGGGATAATCTGAGAAAACTGAAGGAATTTGAGAACCATTATAGCCATAGCTCAGGGAGGCTAGTTAGTCCATGTCTTAGTCAGCATGGCCATGCATTCAAATTGGCAACGTGCTCTAGATTAGTAAAAGCCAAGGGATGTGTCCAGGAAGAAGGGGCTTATATTGACATTCTGGTGTCTTGTGACTTGGTATGATATACAGGGAATCCTGAAGTTCTCATGTGTCTTGATTCTGGTAGTGGGAACTGTTGTGAGAACTGATGGACCAGAAGATGTCTGAGGCCAGGATGAGAAAGCTACAGATTACTTGGGACTGTAGGTTATGGAAGCAATGATGGATTGCAGCATAGGGGCTAGCATGGTGCCTAAAGAACCAGGAAAGACCCTTAGTTAACAGCAACCGGGACAACCAGGTGCAGCCCAGCCAAACTGCACTGGAAGCTGCTATGGCCCAGAAGGTAGCATGAAGAACAGACGACCTGCCTCCCCCATCTATTCACCACGAGGGAATGCAAGCTTCCCTTTATGGGGCAATAGGTAGGACGGGATGGTGGCATAGGTGGCCCAATAGGAAGTTTAGATTTTCAGTTGAATTAAAATCTATTCAAAAGAGACCCAGGTAGAATGGAACAGACATTTCAAACTGAAATAAATTATTATTAATGGTCACATTTAGGTTTTCTCCTGAATTCCCCACAACAGCAGGGATGAGGGTCTTGATAGCAAGAGAGTATCATTTATGGAAATGATGAAGTTACAGTCCTTTGCCCAAGAGAATTAACTTCAAACTTTCTACAGAAAAAGCACTAGTTAGAATGAGCCCACGCTTTCATTTTGTGTATGTGCATCATGCTATTTAAAATGCATGATTTGCATGCAGATATTAATTGCAGCACTATCCACAATAGCAAAGACATGCAATCAATCTAAATGCCAATCAATATCAGATTGGATAAAAAGAATCTGGTACATATACACCATGGAACACTATGAAGCCATAAAAAAGAACAAGACTATGTCCTTTGCAGGAATACGGATGGAACTGGAGGCCATTATTCATAGCAAATTAATGCAGGAATATAAAAGCAAGTATTGCATGTTCTCACTTATAAGTGAAAGCTAAATGATGAGAACACATGGACGCAAAGAGAGGAACAACAGACACTGGGGCCTACCTGAGAGTGGAGGTTGGGAGGAGGGAGAGGATCAGAAAAAAATATCTATTGTGTACTAGGCCTGGTACCTGGGTGACAAAATAACCTATGCAGCAAATCTCTGAGACATGAGTTTACCTATATAACAAACCTACACATGTATCCCTGAACCCAAAATAAAAGTTTTTTAAAAAATAAAAAATGCATGATTATACATCAAGCATGTGCTGGCACTTTTGCTTTCTCTAATGATCTATGCATACATAAATATTCATACTTTTTAACGGTATGCTGTGTATAGAATACAGTATATGGTACAGCAATTAATAGCAGACTATTAACCATTGACAGTAGACTGCTTAAGCTTGAATCCAAATTCCTCCATTTAGTAACTGTGTGACCCTCAGCAAATTACTTAACCCTGTACTCTAATTTCCTTTTCTGTAAAATGTGAATAATAAAACCCTAAAGTGTTCTGAGATTTAAATGAGTTAAAACATGAAAACATACATAAGAATATTTCTAGGACTATTACTCATCATTGCCCAAAATGGTAAATAATCCCAATTTCCATCACCCATGAAATGAATCATTGTAAAATACAATAAAATACTACATAGCAATAAACATGAATAAACTACATCCACAAATAGCAATATGGATAAATCTTAGGAACATATCAAAATAAAATAAAGGGCACACTGTGTGGTTCTAATTAATAGAAGTTCAAAAATAGGAAATTTATAGCATTCCTGCTCCAGATGGCCTGCCACTGCCAACACGCCTGCTGCAGGAGGGAGGCATGGCTGCGGCTGCACACTCCATGGAGCCAGTGGGAGTTAGTGACAAGTGGGAGCCTGTCCCTTCCAAGCTGGGGTGGGAGTTGCTCGGGTGCAGCTGTAGCCACTCAAACTGTTGCTGTAGACTCAGGCAGTCCTGTGCTCTTGGGGGCATGGGAAGACCCCTCTGCCCTCGCAGGCTTGGAAGTGCCTGCTTCCGCTGCCTGGTCTCTCCCTGCTCTGATCTTGGAAGGGAGAGAGGCCAGGCAGTGGGAGAAGGCACTTCTTCGATCTTCTCTGATCTCGGAGCAGTCAGGGCCCAGCCCCGTTGCCATGAACAGCAGCAGGAGGCAGACAGATTCCTGGATGGAAGGGGGTAGGTCCCCGGTGAGGCCCCACGTTGGTCTGAAGGCTGGGGGCTGGGCTGCCAGTCCCACAGACTGGAGCAGGAACTTGTGATGCTTTTTCCAGCCTGCCCATCATCCCCCATGGGCCCATCAGTGTACACTTCCTCCTCTCTGAGGTCCATAAAAGCCCTGGGCTCAGCCAGAGCTGAGCAGACAATGGGACACCCAGCAGCAGAGGGGAGCTACCCTCTCTGCTGAGAACTTCAGAGACCTGCAGAGATGTCATCGGGGCTACCAGTTGCAGAGAGTAGCAACCCACTTCAGGGCCTCCTGTCTGCTAGAAGCTGGGCATACATTGGGACAACCAGCTGCAGAGAGGAGCTATCCTGTCCAGGCCTTCTCTCTGCTCAAAGCTGCAGAGATGATGGGACAACCCGCCTGCAGAGAGGAGCCACCCATTCCAGAGTCTCCTCTCTGCTGAGAGCTGAACACTCAATGGGATCACCTGCCTAGAGAGGAGCTACCCACTGCGGATCTCCTCTGAGCTGTTCTACTGAATAAAGCTCCTCTTCATCTTGTTCACCCTCCACTTGTCTGCATACCTCATTCTTCTTAGATACAGGACAAGAACTCAGGCAAAGGTGCTACCGGCCACAGAGGTTTCCAGCCAGAAAAATGACACCCCAAAGATCCCATAACAAAAGGATTAGTAATTAGGAGGGGACACTAAGGGTATCATAATGCTTTACTGACTTGAGTAGTGGATGCATAGATGTGTTTATTTTCAGATAATTCATTGAGTTGTACAGTAATTAGTTTTGTACACTTTTGTCTGTAAGAAAATACAAAAGTGCTTCAATACAAAAGTAAAAACAATGCCAAGTCCTTCGAACACTGGTTGACAAAGAGGAAGCACACAATGTGAGCTGTTTTTACATTTCCATGTTAACACATGTAAAGGTATACTGTAATCTTTAATGTCTGTACTATATTCTTTTGAGTCAGTGTACCCTATATCTTTTCTATGGTAAAAGTGGTACAAGGTAACTAAATATTCTTCACTACTAATTATCAATGTATACTCCGTCTCTTCCTAAATGAGAATTTTCTAACATACTAGCAAAGTTTATTTTCATTTTTTATTTAGCTTTTAGTTTAAGTTCAGGGATATATGTGCAGGTTTGTTATACAGTTAAAATTGTGTTATGGGGGTTTGTTATATGAATTATTTCATCACCCAGGTATTATGCAAACTTTAAAATCGTGACAATAGCTATAAAATGTGCTAACAAGTCGTTAAAACTCTTCAAAATAAAAAATACAAGTTAGGACTAGAATTTAATTGGCTAAATTCAATTTTAATATTACATACATGCTTTGTGATAGTCTGAAATGTATTCACTACTTAAAGCGAGATTTTGAAACATTAATTTTTAAGTAGCAGCTCAAAGACATTGTTGCTTGGTTAGAACAAAACTACAAAAAACTAAAGCTACATCAGTTAAATGTGTTCTCTAAATGGTTTGAAGAGTAGTCTTAATTATTCTCACCACAAAAAATGATGTATATGAGGTGACAGACACATTAATTAGCTTAACACTTTCACAATGTATACGTATATCGAAATATCACATTACATATTGTAAATATATACAATTTTTATTTGTTGACTATAATAAACAAATGTAATAGTAAAACTTTGCATAGATTATTTTTACAAAATAATGATTTAACTTACCTGCGCTTGCAGTTTTACTTCATTCACTTCGTTGTTTAATTCTTCAAGATCACTACCCAAATGCACACAAAATTGCTTAATGCTTGATTCTCTATCACCCACTGATTTATCAATGGCATTCCGAACAGCAACAATGGATGGCTTCATAGTTGCAAAAACAGCAAAGTCTTCAGGAGGTGTGGGTACCTGATATTGTTCAATAAGCTTGTACATTTGAGTCACTATATTCCCTTCATCTTCAAGGCTTTCAATCTAAATGGAAACATAGTTTGCTCATTAAATGTAACAGAGTCCTAGTTCAGTCTTGAAGTTTGTTCTAATAGGAGACAGCCACTGTACAATATGGACATTTTATTAGTCTGTTCTGCCACTGCTAATAAAGACATATCCGAGACTGGGTAATTTATAAAAGAAAGGTTTAATGGACTCACAGTTCCACATGGCTGGGGAGGACTCACAATCATGGCTAAAGACAAGGGAGAAGCAAAGGCATGTCTTACATGGCGGCAGGCAAGATAACTTGTGCAGGGGAACTCCCATTTATAAAAACCATCAGATCTCATGAGACTTATTCACTAACATGAGAACAGTATGGGGGAAACCACCCCCATGATTCAATTATCTCCACCCGGCCCCATCTTTGACATGTAGGAATTCAGTTCAAGGTGAGATTTGGGTGGAGACACAGCCAAACCATATCAAACATCAAACTGTGAATAGTCAGCACAGAAGGAGTGTATTATAATGTAACAGTCAAATTGGCTAAAGCCTGCTAGAAGATAGTCATTGCTATAATACAGGTAATCAGGTTAGGAGGTAAATTATTCAGAGCTGGGCTCTTATAAATGTTTCCTCTTTCTTTCTGTTTTGTTCTTTTGTTGTAGTAAACAGTGCCAATATTTAAAGTTTTCTAAGAAAACATGTGCTGTGCGGTTGTTCAGCTGTAGTATCTGAGCTTCTAGGCATGTGTGATGGGCAGTGATCATCCCAGAGCAGCCAGAGGGATCGACAAGCTGTGGACTTGGCTGCATAGGTTTAGAACCCAGATCTATGGTGAGATTCCCACTATCCCTTAATAAATTATTTTACCACAGCCCAATGACTACTAAACATCTTCACTTTGATTTCTTACTTTCAGTGGACAGTATTGCTTGTCTTTCCTAATTTTCTGGCAAGGGATCCCCCAGTTTTGGGAAAGTTCCTTACCCCCAGCTCTGCCACATGGTTATAGAGGGAGCAGACATTTTCATACTAGTTGGCCCAATTTCCTGGCCACAGGCTGAACCAAGGACCATCAAACTGTGATCTAAAGAACTTAGCTCAGTCTGACCTTTCTCTTGAACACAGGAAGAGTTAGGACTGAGGCCATTTACTTTCATGTGGAAACAGAACAGGTCATTAACATGAGAAGATAACCGCAGACAGGTTTTTAGAGAAATAGTTCTCAATCTTTAGCTTCCATGGCAATGACCTTGGAAAGCTTGTTAAAACAAATTGCTGAGCCCCTCCCAAGAGTGTCTGATTCAAAAGGTCTAGCAAGTCATAAAAACACTGTAGTCATGGAGGGTGGGTCCCAAGAATGAACATTTCTAACCCATTCTCAGGTGATGCTGCTGCTGCTGATTTGGAGTCCCCGTTCGGGAACCATGGTTCTGGAGGAGCAGAGATGAGAGAAGGAGAGAGGCCTTTTTGTAAAGGCCTGGCTCTATCCACACTTTAGGATTCTGAAAGATATTCCTGCAAACTTAGAATAAATCTTCCCATTTTTCTAAGCTATTTATGTGAGTTTTTGTGACTTTCAACCAAAATTTCTAACACCTCGAACAAATTATGTATAGAACTAAGTCTCTCTACATCAAGATCTGTTCATCTTCCTCTATTTCCTCTATTTTGGGTGAGTATATATCCAGATTTCTCTGGGAATGTCCTGGGTTTACACTTATTGTCCTAGTACAATGATTAATAGTGTCTCTTTCACTCTCAGAAAAACGTACTGATCAGACAATGAATTATGTAGCCTACCCTCCCTATATTGGTATGAAATTGCTAAATACCCATTCCCTGCAGAATGATACCTATAAGTCACCTCATTTTCCTCTCACTGTCCCCTCATTCAGTTGCCCATCAAGTCCTTTCAATTCTACTTAACATATTTGTAATTAATTTCTTGTCTCCTATCTTTGAATAGCTACATAGAGTTCATCAACTTTCAACCAAACATTCTTTCTCCATAGCATATCAATTGCTAAATCCTGTTTTTGTCACGTTGCCTCCTGTCTTTGCACATAGCTTTCCCTCTCCCTGGAATGCCTACCTGAATGTTTCATGTATTTTATGACAGCTTAAATATGCCATCCTCCACACAGCCTTCTGTAACCCATAGGCAAGAATTACTACAAACTTCCCAGTGCTACAACAGTATCTTATACCTATGCCCATTTTATCAAAATTATCTGCTTGCATTCAAGACTCAACTTCTTTAAAGCAGGTTTATTCATTGTAATTTTTGCACCCTGCTAAGTGGTGTTCACTAAACTTGCTGACTGAATGAATGAAGATCCAGAAAAAGTTTCTGTGTGTGCAGAAAATCTCCCTAAAGGAAATTGCTTTCCAAACACACCATCCAGCAAACACAGACAACTTCCTGGAGATAGGACACAGTCTATGTTTTCTGCATACTGCATCAACTTGCTGTTCTGGAACCACAAGGTGATAGCAGCTGACCCTCTGCAGCCATTGATTATGATGTGACCCTACCTTCCTGACATAGTTTATAGAACAGCATAGGAGCTCTGAATCAATTTACTAGACCTTTAGAATCAATATTGAAAAAGAGAGATTATCTCTTTCTTGCCGACTGGCTAGACTTGCAAGCTATAGTTTGGGAGCTGCTGGTGGCCATGCTTACTGCTGTGGTAAGAAGCAGCAGAAGTAGCTGTCTGCAGAGGGAGAGAAGTGAAGCAGACCCTCAGAGAGATGCAGAGAGCAGAGATGGAAGAAAGGACTACCGGGGCTTCCTGTGACTGTCCTATTCCAGGTTCTGGTCAGTTCCTGAGCCTACTTACATTCTTGATTGGGAGTTCCATGAAGCACCCCTGAATCCTTAAGTGGGATCCCTATTTTGGCCTAAGCTTTCTCAAGTGGGTTTGGGTTATTTGTTTGAAGTGACTTAATGAATACAAACAATAATAAGTAATTCACATCTTTAGACTCCTGGGACAATTTATAAGCAAACCTGAGGAGAACCACGACCATCTGCCTTTTTGAGAAGGCATGATTTCTTGAAATGAGAAACACTGTTACTTTTGTAGTCATGTGAAATAGCATTTTTATTAATTTGGTTAATAATTTATATAACATTCATTCAGTTTACTTTTTTAATTGAAACATTTCTTCAATTTTCAGATATTTAATAAAATAATTTATCTATATTTTAAATGCCAACCTAATATGAATGAAAGTTTATGAAAAAAACCATTGGAGCCAAATGCTAGATTGCTTCCTACAGGGAAGAGGCTAAGAGGAGGAAACTAAGTTTCCAGAGAAAAAGAAGCAAAAGAGCAAAGGAGAGAGAGTGAGAGAGAGAGTGTGTGTATAAGAGAGAAAAACAGAGACCTGATTCCATCTGCATCACTTGAGTCCCCATATCCACTTTTTTCTCCCCACCTCCACCTCCCCACTTAAGCAGGTTTGTGTTGGGTTTCTTTCATTCTTAACAGTAAGTTTCCTATTAAGCAGTCAGACTTCCATTATGATTAATATCTAGATTATAATGGTATTACCATTTACTAAAAATTGGAATTCCAATAAACTATGGTTGAGAACATTGGCTTTGCAGTCAAAGAAACTCAAATCTAAATTCTAACTCTTTCACATCCATACATGTCTGTGATCTTGGATAACACATCCCGTTTTGGTTCCTGTTTCCTTATCTGCAGAGGATAAACATCAACACTTCTTAAGCTTTTGTGAGAATTAAAAACGTAATACATGTAGAAAATGTAATATGATGCCTGACTGTAAGAGTCTGATAACTGTCAGCTGGCTTTATTCCTGTGATGTAGAACATCCACTTACTTTGAAAGTGTTTCTGATATTTTGACAGCTGTCTTTCGCCCTTTAGTCCTTCACTTTTTCTTGTACTATGTCTTCCTTCCTACTACAAGATCTGGAATATTGAGTTACATGAGATAATCAACTCACCCGTTCCTGAATTTCATCAAGAAATAATAAGCTATGAACATATTCTGTGGTAGTAGTTGGAACAAACTCAAGTTTATACTCTGCATCTTGTGCCTCAAAGATAATGGCATCCACTTTTTTCTTGCTTTGACGAGGAAGCATAAAATTTAGCACCTAAGAAAGAAAATAACATGTGAACTGTAAATAATTGAATATTTTCATTTTATTATATATTTTAGACAAATCCTAATGGGACATCCGTTAAATCAGCAGGTATTGGAAGCAGCAGTGCATACGAAGAGACTTTTTTCTCATTAAATCACTGCTAGTTAAGTGTGAAAACAGGAAGGCCAGGTTTTGAAGATCATTTCTACAGCTTACCAAAAATTTTCCATAAATGCTCTAATATCTTGCAAGTATGCTTTCTGCTTCTTCATCCTATGTAGTGGACATTGTGCTGCCCTGTTCAGCATCAGTCCCACTCTTTTCATGTTGGGTGCCAGCCATGCAGTTTGAGGGAAACTGATCTCTCCTTCAGAAGCAAATATGGAGTCTGACTGATCACTTGGCAAACAGGAGCATGGCTTTTTTGGTCAAAGTGATCAGATTAAGGTTGTATCAATCCATTTTCACACTACTATAAAGAACTGCCAGAGACTGGGTAATTTATAAAGGAAACAGGTTTAATTGACTCATAGTTCAGCATGGCTGGGGAGGCCTCAGGAAACTTATACTCATGGCAGAAGGTGAAGGGGAAGCAAGGCACCTTCTTCACAAGGTGGCAGGAAGGAGAAGTATGTGACAGTGCAGGAAAAACCATGATTTATAAAACCATCAGATCTTGTGAGAATTCACTTACTGTCAGGAGAACAGCATGGGGGAAACCACCCCCATAATCCAATCACTTTCTGTCAGGTTCCTCCTTTAACACCTGGGGATTACAATTCAAGATGGGATTTGGGTGGGGACGCAAAGCTAAACCATATCATGTGTGAACCTCTGACTTTAGTTGATTCAATCAGATAAAGGCCCACACTTTTATTTATGGCTGAGAGAGATGTATACTCAGAACCCCAATCTTTCTCTTTCTCTCTCCATACAAACAAATAATTGGCTTGTGAAGCTTTTGACGATCATTTCACAAATGCCTTAGGATGAAGCCTGCACATAGGAGGTTCAGGAAAAAGAATGAAAGAATTGGTTCCTTGGTAACAACACTGAGCTACTAGATCATACCTCCTTGATATTGACCCAAACTCTGGACTTTTTAGATGCATATGCCAATAACTCTTCTGATTGCTTAAGCCAGTTTGAGCTCAGTATTCTTGGGCTTACAGTAAATTTATACCCAAATATTTCTTGAGCATACAGTAGCTAAAAAATGCTTGTTGAAATTGAATTAAATTTGCTCCAGTTATATAATAATTATATATACATAAATAAGTGTATATATATTTCTTTTTTTTTTTTTACCAGATGAAGAAATAAAACTCTAGAAGGAAGACCAATACTATACAGTTAATTAATAACAGAACATATTAACACTCAGGTCTGCACTCTTTGATACAGTGCTCTATCTTCTATCATCTATCGAAGCCAGAAAATGTTTTCTATAAGGGCCAGATAGTAAATATTTTAGATTTGCAGTCAATACAGTCTCTGTCACAACGACTAAACTTTGTCCTTCTAGGAAGAAAGCAGCCATAGATGATATGTAAATCATTGTCATGGCTGTGTTCCGATAAAACCATATACAAAACAAGAGGCAGGCTGGGTTGGCTCTGTGGGCTATAGTTTTCCAATCCCTGTTTTATATCATTGTCTCTCTGTGGGCATTGGGAAGATACAAGTATACTCTGGCTCCAAAGGAAGTTATTGTATTGGTTCTGAAACTTATTACAGAAATTTCCCTAGTTCTATAACTTACCAAAACATAATTAGACCTGTAGGGACAATTCCAGATCAGAAAATGATTTCCTAAACTTGATCTTGGTGGTCTAAAATCAACCATCACTGCCTCTGGGATATTAAGCTGTTATAGTAGTATCCTCTCTGCAGGTCTTGAAATGCTCCGACAATAGAAAATGGAGGAGGAGCAAGAGGCCAGTGTGAGTCCTGCAGTCCCCTCCATTATCTCATCTAAAAAGCTGATTCTGCTTGTGACAAAAAGACTATAGAGCTTTTCTTAGAAATTAAGGATGTCCAATAGTATTATGTTAATTTATATATTTGCAATACTATAAAATAAATAATAGGTTTTTGTGCAGTAGAAAAATCATAAAATAATTGTAGAGGAATAATTAAATTTTTTCCTAGTTTATAGTTACCTCTAAGCATCGCAAAGGTGATGGAATTAATTTTTCTCTTAGCAGCCTAGTGTCAATGAGCAGCAATCCTACATTTCTGGTGGGTCTGAGAGCTACTGCGTCCTTGTGCTGTTTGTGGTATTTTTCCAGTTGCTGACTAAAAAAGTTAACATCTACATAAAAAAATTCACATAAATCATAAAATATACCACATTGGATTTTAAAAGATCATTACAAAATATATTAAAAATCATTGCATTGATACATTTACACATATATGTATAATGTTATTATCTGTAGTTAGAGTATCTCATGTAACTTTAAAACGCTAATTTGGATTGCTTTATAGTATTTTATTCTTGTGATAAAGAAACTAATATTTTATAATGTAAATATATCTTCTGGCTCCTATGAAGAGATGACAGATGAAAATAATTTGCAAGTGCATTAGAGAATCTAGTCTGGAATTGAGTAGATTTCAGAGCTAGGTTGGTTTCAAGTTGAGCTTAATCTAAATGTTCTCTCCCACGTGGTATCTCAAAGTAAAGCATTTTGAGAATATAAACAACAAATTTGGAAACATAAGAGATCACACATAGCTAAAATTATCTCTGTTCCTCTTTCCAACACATCTCTCTGCCATTCCTGCACCCTACATCATGGTCAAGGCCTTTATCAATTTGCATATGCTGTAGTTGCATTTTGATCTTGCCTCTATTTTCTCCCTCATCCAATCCATCTGGAACCAATGGAAACCTGATTATCCTTGAATACACTCTCATCATACTATCAGACAAAAATAGCTCTCTCTCTAATGCATATACAATTCCAAACTTCTCTGCTTTCTTTCAAAATGCTGTACCTTCTGGGCCTCTAAAAATTTAGCTAATTTTATTTCTAATTACCTCCTACATTTGGGTCAAATTGATTTCCTTACTGTCTGCCCTTTTTCCTCTTTCCATAACCTTCCTCCACCACCCCAAAGAGAAAAGGCTACTGTTTCCTGCCTTTACTCATGCTATCTCTTCTCCTAATTATAAGGAGTAGTTTGATATAGTATAAAGAACACACCAGAGAAAGTATTAGAAGACCTGAGCTCAGGTCTTTCACCCATGTGTGGCCTTGGGAAAGTCACTTAGTCTTTCTGAGCTTCGGCTACCTCATAATATAAAACAGAAACAGCAATTATCTCCCTTACTCACTTCAGAAGGTTTTGATTTGTGTATTTTTGAAAGTCGACTAAATTAATGTTACATGTTCTGATAAGTCCCATGGTAAGGATACCTGTATAATGCTGCGTTGTTTAGTATTTTCCAAATTTATTTGAGCACCATCTTTTTTCATGGTATCATGTAATTATCCCTCAGAACAGTGCCAATGAACACAACTTTCAGAACCATTGATTTGGTCCAAAACTCTTATTTTATAGATAAAGAAATTGATATCAATTGAGGTCGTATGACTGGGCTATGGCCACATGGCCAAAAAGGAATAAAAGATTAAAGCCAGTAGTTGGGAAATACGATTTCTTTTTTCTTTCTTTCTTTTTTTTTTTTATTGAGATGGAGTCTTGCACTGTCCCCCAGGCTGGAGTGCAGTGGCCGCAAGATCTTGGCTCACTGCAAGCTCAGCCTCCTGGGTTCACGCCATTCTCCTGTCTCAGCCCCCCGAGTAGCTGGGACTACAGGCGGCCACCACCATGCCTAGCTAATTTTTTTGTACTTTTAGTAGAGACGGGTTTTCACTATGTTAGCCAGGATGGTCTTGATACCCTGACCTCGTGATCCACTCACCTCGGCCTCCCAGAGTGCTGGGATTACAGGTGTGAGCCACCGCGGAGAGGCAGTACGTAAAACGGTTAAGCAGACAAGCTTTCAAGTCAGAGAAATTAGATCTGAACTGCTCACTAGCTGTTTAATCTTGAAGTTACCTTATCTCTATTGATCTGTTTTTTTTTTTTAATAAAATGGTAATACTAATGCTCTCCTCAGAATTGTGAGGATTGGATGAAATGTCTAAATATTACTTAGAACAGTATCTACCATGCTGTAAGTGCTCAGTTAAGTGTAGACATTATTAGTAAATGCTGACATTTATAGGAATTTGGTGGTGAAATGTGGCTGCTTGTCAGGAAGCCAGAACCCATCTGCTGGTCGTTCTCTGAGGTGGGACAGGGAGCAGCCTGGTTAAAAGTTCAGTTAGACATTTATTAAGGATCTACAATATGTGCTAAGCAATGTTGTAGTCGTTTGAGGATATAAAATAACAGGTAAGGGTGATATCCAAGGGCAAAGCCCATCTCTATAAGCCTCTGGCAAACAATTGGATTTAGTGGTTTAGGATGTACTGAGGGGTTCCAAACAGAGGAGGAGCACAGAGGTTAGGAGTCCAGGCCAAGGTACTCCAAAGTCGCAGCCATCAGAGTGTTGGGACTGGGAGACTTGGTTCCAGGATTGGGTTTCAAAGGCAGGACCAGCAAGACAAGGTAGGACTTGCTGAAGAGCAACCTGGGAGCCAGGGGACTGTACCCTGATGGGAACTTGCTGAGGGATCACAGTTATTCAATGTGAGGACTGTGGTAGCAGGAGGCTAGGAAGCCTTGGGCTCAGGATATGAGTAGAAGAGCTCAGGGATTAGAACTGGCTATTTTGATCAGGCCTCCTTCTTGTGCCAAAATTCCAGGCTCCATAGCCTGCTGCCACTGTGATGCCAGCGCAGGAGGCATCATGTCCTCACGTCCCTGTCAGTGTGCTTCTGTTCAGCACACACTAAGTCTCCGTGTGATCGTGTTGCCGAAGAACAGTGGAAGTAGGCTTGTCTAAATTTTGCTTTCTAAATTGGGGCCCCATGTTGGTCTAACAACTTAGTATCTTGAAAAAAAGGAGTCAGTTTCAGATTTTTAAAATTTAAGGGACATAACAATCAGATACCATGCCTGATCTTGGACTTGATCCCTGGCCAAATCAGCTGGAAGCTGCTTTACTTGGGGAATTTTGAATATGGAGTAAGTGAAGATATTAAGGAATTGCTATTTCAGTGGGGGGGAGGTCATTCTGTAGAAACATGTTTTAGAGATGCCTATTGAATTATTTAACTTAAGAATGCAGTGTCTAATTTACTTTAAAATGCTTCAGCATACTAAAGAATAAGGAATTGAAAGAAAAACATAAATACAAAAACAAAAAATTAGTGCTGGTTCATAGAGCAAAGTATCAAAGTAATTATATTTATATATAAGAAAATAAAGCTCATGAAACAAAAAATATGAAAGACATGCATGATGTTTTAAAATGGCAAACAAATATACTTATTTTTTATAATTTTCTGAGAACTTGCTTGCCTGAAATTGCACTTGGATATTATAGATCATCTTCCTTTGTTAAAGATAGTATTAGTGAAATAAAATAGTTTTCCCCAGGTCTAATTTCATGACTAAGAGTTGTTGATTCACACCCACCAGATCTTAATGTAGTCCCAGAAGAAAAAAGAATAAGTTCCTGAGATAGAAAAACTTATGTAAACTTTATTTAATGGAATTGGTAGAGATATCCATTCCTTTCAACTCCTTCTCATATGCAGGTTATATATTCTTAGCACCGACACAACTTTAAACTAAATGATCAGCAATTAGGAAGGAATTGCTTTCCATAATATCCTGAAATAAAACAGTAATACTGAATAAGGAGAAAGGAAAAAAGTAATTCTATAGAAAATAACCTAGAAATGAATTAACTCTTGCCTTTTGTCAGGCCAACTCTTTTGGGCTACCATTTGTGTCCCCAAACACCACCAAACAGAATCCTAAAAGACAACAAATCTCATATCCCTAAAAAAATAATTAGTAAGTACAAATGGACAAGTTACCAGGTTCCTGAAGTTTAAGAGCTTGTAAATCAAGACTTTCATTTTCCTTGAAGAATAGCTGGAACTTTTCAAAGGTAGCTGCATAGAGGCGGGCCGATTCAAATGCTGCCTGAATGGTTTCCTAAATGTTATAAATAAGCAGACAAATATGACCATATTTTTGTTAAGCAGAATTTAATTCAATACAACTAAACAAAGAAACAAGCAAGCACACATACTCTATGCCCAATAGTATGTTTTGATTTGGGAAACATGAATGAAGGAAGATACATTCTTGATGTCAAGGAGTAACTCATGGATTCAAGAAGAAATTGTTATGAAATAAAAAAAAAAATTCATCTTTAAACCTGATTTCTGAAGAATTATTCCTGTGACTGAAAGGAAACACACTTATAATTTGTTTCTGCTTCACGGTGAGCTTATACATCGATAGTAAACATATGGCAAAGAGGCAATTCTTGTTTATTTTCCCAACTGCATATTTTATGTCAAAGTATTTTTGAATAAAGGCAAACCTGTTTAGCATGCTCACAAAATTGCTTGCTTAATCTTACTATCAAATCCTTGGCATAAGTCAGTCTCTTATTCCAAAATGTCCTTCATACTTTGTCATAATAAAAACTTTTTCTTCACCTCTCTTAAACTCGGTTCTAACCCATATTTCCCCACTTGGTTTTTTAAACCAAGACAATGATTTCTAATCATTTCAGTCCCTTTAATAACTGTGTCAACATATATTATCATATGTTCAAAGTCTATGAAAGGCAGTTAGGATTCACCTGCTGTTGGTCTTGGTCCATGCCTACTTGGCTGTGCTCCACACCTTTTCCTTGTGTTTTCTACCAAGACTTGTAAAAGCCTGCAATTTGTCCCAGGAAAACTAGAGGTGATCAATGGAATTGCACACATCCAACACGCCAATGCTAGGGAAAGTGACTCAGTTATGCCTTGCGGTAGTAGAAAATTTAATTACAAAGAATAGCACATGCCCTATATGTCTACATTTAGTTATTTGTTCATTTATTTTGTTTTAATAGGCTTTTATGAATATTCCAGAATGTTTCTGTTCTTTTTTTATAATAAACATTGAAAAAGAACTTTATTAAACTATGTTTCCTTTGAACTGACTAAATAGTATCTCTGATATGTCATCACGCAGGTGCTAGAAACAATATAAGACTTATAAGTGGAAAACCCCACTAATGTTCAAAATATGCTTTCAAAACATTTTTATTTTGAAATAATGTATGATTCACAAGAGTGTTACTGGAATAACACAAGGAATTTCATATTTCTGTCACCAAAATTCCCTAAATTTCAACAATTTATCATATTTACTTTATAAGTCTGTCTCTATATACCTATTATTATACTCTGAACCATTTGGGAGAAGGTTACAGACATGTGGCACATTTACTCCTAAATATTTCAGGGGTTACTTACTAAACACAAGGACATTTTATTACATAACCACAGTATAATGGTCCAAATCAGGAAATTAACTTGAATATTAATACTGTTACCTAATTACCAGCCTCATACAAATTCTACCATTTGTTCCAGTACCAAATTTCATAGTAAAAGGGAAAAACATTTTTTGTTCTGGTCTACTTTCCTACCTAGGATCATGTATTGCATCTTTTCATATCTTTTTGGATTTCTTTTTTCTTTCTTTCTTTTTTTTTTTTGAGACAGAGTCTCGCTCTGTCACCCAGGCTGGAATGCAGTGGTTCCATCTCGGCTCACTGCAACCTCCACCTCCCGAGTTCAAGCAATTCTCTGTCTCAGCCTCCTGAGTAGTGGGGATTACAGGCACCCACCACCACGCTATTTTTTTTTTTTTTTTTGTATTTTTAGTAGAGACGGGGTTTCACAATCTTGGCTAGGCTGGTCTTGAACTCCTGACCTTGTGATCCGCCCACCTGAGCCTCTCAAAGTGCTGGAATTACAGGCATAAGCCACCGTGCCCGACTGGTTTTCTTTAATCTGGGACAATATCTCAATCTTTCTTTGCCTCGCATGACCTTCACATTTTTTAAAGGTACCTCAGTTATGTGTATATGTGCATGTGTGTGTTTTATGTTTACTCATTATTAGACTCAGATTTAAATTTTTGGCAGTAACAACACATAACTGATGTATGTTCTTTGCAGCATCTCACAAGGCACTTGTAGATTTGTCTCATTACTGGTAATATTAACACATTGGCTAAAAAAGTGCTTGGCAGACTTATCACTGTAACTATTTTTCCCTTTGAAAGCAATAAGTAGCTTATAGACAGAGAATTTGAGGTTATGTAAATACTCCATTTCTCATCATACTTTTGTGTACCCGTTTTAGTACACATCAGAGATTCTTGCTGATTGCTGATGGCTTCTGCAGTGAATTTTCTAATTGTGTTTTCTTTCTACATTTGTTTGCATTCAACCAAAGGAAAAACTTTCTCTTCTCACTCGTTCAATTAGTTAGTTAGTTAATTCATTATTTCACAACATGGACTCATATAGTCTCATTTTATTCAAGGGATTTGGTGCTGATCAAATTGTCCCAGTGTGTCCAGAATTGGTTCCTTCTGGTGGGTTCCTGGTCTTGCTGACTTCAAGAATGAAGCCACAGCCTCTTGCAGTGAGTGTTACAGCTCTTAAAGATGGTGTTTCCGGAGTTATTTGTTCCTCCCAGCAGGTTCGTGGTCTTGCTGACTTCAGGAGTGAAGCTGCAGACGTTTGCAGTGAGTGTTACAGCTCTTAAAGGTAGTGCAGACCCAAAGAGTGAGCAGCAGCAAGATTTATTGTGAAGAGGGAAAGAACAAAGCTTCCACAGTGTTGAAGAGGACCAAAGCAGGTTGTGGCTGCTGGCTTGGGCAGCCAGCTTTTATTCCCTTATTTGGCCCTGCCCACATCCTGCTGATTGGTCCATCTTACAGAGTGCTGATTGGTCCATTTTACAGAGTGCTGATTGGTGCATTTTTACAGAGTGCTGATTGGTGCATTTACAATCCTTTAGCTAGACACAGAGCTCTGATTGGTGAATTTTCACAGAGTGCTGATTGGTGCATTTACAATCCTTCAGCTAGACAAAGAGTGCTGATTGGTGCATTTTTACAGAGTGCTGATTGGTGCATTTACAATTCCTTAGCTAGACACAGAGCGCTGATTGGTGCATTTACAATCCTCTAGCTAGACAAAATTAAGTTCTCCAAGTCCCCACTCAACCCAGGAAGTCCAGCTGGCTTCACCTCTCACCAGGGAGACCCTTCGAGGTGGCTTTTTGTCTTTTCTACATGTCTCCATTGTTATTTGGGCATGTTCTTATTTTTTAGCTGAATAATATTCTCAAGGCTCATATTGTACTGTCCTGCCCCACCCCTTGAAGAAGAGAGTTCTGCAAAAAGAACAAAGAGAGTTCCTTTCAATTGGGAATGATATATAGAAACTAACAAGTGGATACTAGATGTGCTCATTGGTATTGGGATGTCATTGCTTGTAGGCTATTTCAGCAGACAGGTCTAGGAAACACACATACACCCCACATACAATCACGAAACCCTACACATTTCTTTATCTTTCTAAAGATCAATTAAAATCCATGAGTTCACAACTCCATTCCAATGCAATAACATAGGGTTCATTCCAGCCTTCCCTCTCCCATATTTGTAACTCCCTGTCTGAGGATGAGTAACCTCATTTCATCATTCACAATACATTTATTTGTTTTGCTCAAGTCTAAATAAAATACACAGAAAGTAGTTTCAGCATTGCTAATACACTAACACCACTGCAAAAAACAAACCTACTAACCAGAGTTCAGTATTTACTGCAGTTATGGTGGTTTTTCATCCTCAGGGTACATGGCCAAAATACTGTACTCAAAAGTTACTTAGTTTAGTTATTTTCCCCCATTCCTTTAGTGTGGTTATGTATTTCATTTGAAATACATGTGGGTTTATTTCTTTTTGTTTGTATTTTGTTTTAGAGTTTTGCTCTCCATTTTGTTGATTATTTTTAGAACTATATTAAAAGGTATACTCAGAAAATAGTCACTTTCCCATTTTTTTCACTTCTTACCCACCTTCCTCACTCTTCCTACACCATTCACATTACCTCCTCTAGGTAACTAATTTCCTTAGTTTCTGGTTTATCTCCCTTTCCTTCCTACTTCTGACATAAACAGTAGTATACTATAGATATTCTTTTGTACTTTGCCTTTTCCATCTAACAATATGTCCTGGAAATCACTCTATATTAATTAATAACCAACTTCTTCATCCATTTATTCAGTTGCATAGTATTCCTTTGTGTGGATATACCATAGATTATTCAATAATTTTTCTACACATGGCTATTTTGGTAGTTTCCAATATTTTGCACTCATAAACAATGCTGCAATAAGTAATCTAGTGCATATGTACTTATGTATTGTTGAAAACGTATGTTTTTAGGATACATTTTAAAGGTTGTATTGTTGGATCAAAAGGTAAATGCATGTATAGTTTTATTTTGCAAAATGTTCTTTTATTTTTTGCATTCCCACAAGCATAATGTGAGAGCGTTTATTTACCCATAGGGTAATCACCAGAAAGTGTTGGTATACTTTTTAATTTTGCTAATCTGATAGTTGAGAAATTATATCTCAGTTTTAATTCTCATTAATCTTATGAGTAGACTACCTTTTCTTATGTTTAGATGCTATGTTTATGAACTTTTTATCATAAGTTTTGACCATTTTTCTTTTTTTAAAATTAAATTAAACAATTTAATTTTAAGTTCCAGGATACATGTGCAGGATAGGATATGCAGGTTTGTTACATACGTAAATGTATGCCATGGTGGTTTGTTGCACCTATCAACCCATCACCTAGGTATTAAGCTCCACATGTATTTGCTATTTATCCTGTTGTTCTTCCTCTCCACACACCCTGATGGGTCCCAGTGTGTGTTATTCCCCTCCCTGTGTCCATGTGTTCTCATTGTTCAGCTTCCACTTATAAGTGAGAATACATGGTATTTTCTGTTTATGTGATAGTTTGTTGAGGATAATGACTTCCAGCTCCATCATATCACTGCACAGGACATGATCTCATTCTTTTTTATGGCTGCATAGTATTCCATGGTGTATATATAC